TCCTATGAATCAGTAGTGTCCATATCAGCATTACCAGGTATCATTAAATCGGGCAAAAAAGAGTTCCCTGGGATGACCCAAACCTAGGCAGCCAATCACATGGTCTATGGCCACCAGACGCATGTAGATATTTGGCATCATTAGAGACAACAGAGGGTCTATTGTTTTTAGTGACATAACAAGATCAGCTAGGAAAACCATTGACATAATTTCTTTTTTTGCAATAACAAAACAATACGTTAGAGTTTGTACAGTAGAAGGAGAGTTTTAGGATTTCTAAATTTACAGTTTGCAAACACAGACATAATTTCAGCCTGTTCCATTTAAAATGTTACTAAACACTCAACAGTAAAATCAGTCTCTATATGCAGTAGTAAAGCATGCTTGTTATACTTATTGTGGAACCTAAGGGGTTAATCTTCTACATTGTATAAAAAGGATGTTTGATCCTCTCTTCCCTGATCCTCCCCTTCTTCCAATGCCCCCTAAATATCTCCTAATAGAACATAGCTTAGAGTCACCCTGCACATGCTCAATTTGGTGTGTATGGCTAGAGGTTTTTTTTTTTTCTTGGGAGGGTGCATGTGATCAGCACAGGGCCAATCAGCACTGTCTAGACAGAGGTCAGGGGACTCACATCCTCCTACAGCAAAATGAAAACCCCTCCTACAAGATTAACCATTGCTCAGCTGGACACTGATAGAAGTCACAAGACTGCTCTAACTGCTGATGAGAAAAGGTATTTACCAGTTTATATTTACTAAACTAATTGCATTTCCATGTTGTGTGTACTGTGGCAGACCAGCTATAGTGAATACAGGGTCATGGATTTAGTAATACTTTAAATACCAATTGAAGTTACACTATATTGCCAAAAGTATTGGGACGCCTGCCTTTACACGCACATTAACTTTAATGGCATCGAAGTCTTAGTCTGTAGGGTTCAATATTGAGTTGGCCCACCCTTTGCAGCTATAACAGCTTCAACTCCTCTGGGAAGGCTGTCCACAAGGTTTAGGAGTGTGTCTATGGGAATGTTTGACCATTCTTCCTGAAGTGCATTTGTGAGGTCAGACACTTATGTCAGACAAGAAGGCCTGGCTCGCAGTCTCCACTCTAATTCATCCCAAAGGTGTTCTATTGAGTTGAGGTCAGGACTCTGTGCAGGCCAGTCAGGTTCCTCCACCCCAAACTCGCTCATCCATGTCTTTATGGCCATCTGCCTGGAGTTTGAATGTTCTCCCTGTGCCTGCGTGGGTTTTCTTCGGGTACTCCGGTTTCCTCCCACACTCCAAAGACATGCTGGTAGGTTCATTGGCTCCTGTCTAAATTGGCCCTAGTATGTGTATGTATGAATTAAAGTTAGGGACCTTAGATTGTACGCCCCTTGAAGGTTAGGGACTGATGTGAATGTACAATATATATGTATATATATATGTAAAGTGCTGCGTAAATTGATGGCGCTATATAAGTACCTGAAATAAATGATAATAAACCCCTGAAAAACAACCCCACACCATAATCCCCCCCTCCACCAAACTTTACACTTGGCACAATGCATTCAGGCAGGTACCGTTCTGTTGGCAACTGCCAAACCCATACACGTCCATCAGATTGCCAGACAGAGAAGCATGATTCGTCCTCCAGAGAACACGTCTCCACTGCTCTAGAGTCCACTGCTTAGAGATGTGCTTTACACCATTGCATCCGACGCTTTGCTTTACACTTGGTGATGCAAGGTTTGGATACAGCTGCGCTCGGCCATGGAAACAGCGCTTTACAATATAGGGGGGACAGAACAGTTATAATACAGTTCAATACAGAACGAATAGGGAGGCCCTGCTCATGGAGCTTACAATCTAAAGAGAGGGGGAGGTGATATAAAAGGTGATAGCTGCAGGGGATGATCTGATGGAGATGACTCAAGTACAATTCTTAGGCGGAGGTGGGGTAGGCTTCCCTGAATGAGTTTTTAAAGATCTCCTTTTAACTATTTTATAGCTTACCAATTCTTAAATGTGACGGTTGCATTAGTTTTCTTTTTTAGGCTTTCTTTCTTTTATTTTCATCTGGTGATCAAGCTAGTAATATCTGCTGTCTTCAACAGAACAAGCTGCTCTGCAGATGTAGCGTTTAGAGGATTGAGACAAACCATTTACCACTGACAGAGGCGCTTATATACAGTTGTGGCCAAAATTATTCAACCCCCACTGAAATTGAGTGTTTTGGCCAGTTTGACATTGCTTTTGATCATTCAGTCATCTTGCTTACATTTACATTAAAGAGGCACTTGTAGGTCAGACAAATATAACATAACAGTTATAATGAAATAACCACAATGTCTTTTCTGTGCTCACAGCATTATCAGTTTTATTCAACCCCCAAGTGACATTCAATCTTAGTACTTAGTACAGCATCCTTTTACAGTTATAACAGCTTTTAAACGTGAAGCATAGCTTGACACAAGTGTCTTGCAGCGATCTACGGGTATCTTCGCCCATTCTTCATGGGCAAAGGCCTCCAGTTCAGTCACATTCTTAGGCTTGCGCACTGCAACTGCTTCTTTAAGTCCCACCAGAGGTTCTCAATCGGATTTAAGTCTGGTGACTGCGATGGCCTCCAAAATGTTCCAGCCTTTCCTCTGCAACCATGCTCTAGTGGACTTGGAGGTATGCTTGGGATCATTGTCCTGTTGAAAGGTCCAACGTCTCCCAAGCCTCAGGTGTGTGACGGACTGCATCACGTTTCCATCCAATATCTCCTGGTACTGAAGAGAATTCATGGTACCTTGCACACGCTGAAAGCTTCCCTGTACCTGCAGAAGCAAAACAGCCCCAAAGCATGATTGACCCTCCACCATGCTTCACAGTAGGCAAGGTGTTCTTTTCATCATAGGCCTTGTTCTTCCTCCTCCAAACATAGCGTTGATCCATGGGCCCAAACAGTTCTAATTTGTGTTTCATCAGTCCACAGAACACTATCCCACAACTTTTGTGTTTTTGTCCACATGGCTTTTGGCATACTGCAGTCGACTCTTCTGAAGTTCTTTGGAGACAGCAAGGGGGTACGCCTGGGAGTTTCTGGCACGGAGGCCTTCATTACGCAGTGTGCGTCTTATTGTCTGGGCTGAAACTTCTGTACCCACATCTGACAAATCTTTTCTCAGTTCCTCAGCAGTCACACGGGGACTTCTCTCCACTCTACGCTTCAGGTAGCGCACAGCAGTCGAAGTCAGCATCCTCTTTCTGCCACGACCAGGTAGCGTTTCAACAGTGCCCTTTTGCCCCCTTGAATTTGCGAATGATGCTTCCTAAGGTGTCTCTTGGTATGTTTAACATCTTTGCAAATCTTCTTATAGCCATTGCCCTTCCTGTGAAGAGAAATCACCTCTTCTCTTGTCTTCCTCGACCATTCTTTACTTGCCTTTCACCATGTTTGTAACTGCCACACCAGTAAATGTCTAGAAGGAGCTGAGTATCACAGTCATTTTAAAGCTGCTTAATGTGCTTGCTTATTATGCTTTGATTGCTGCTTGCGGTGACATCCACAGGTGTTTTCAATACCTGATGGAAAGCACCTGTATGAACCTCTGTTCTTCAGAGTGGTAGTCTTTAAGGGGCTTGAATCTAAAATTGTGGCAATGATAAACATAAGAACCATTTACTACTGATATTACATAAACAATTGATGTCTTCCCTGATTTTTTGCATTTGGGTATAGCTTACAACGTCCTTGTAGGATTTGATTCTTTCAATTAATGTACACTATAGTCCCTAAACCCCTTTACAGCATTGGGGGTTGAATAAATTTTTGGCCACAACTGTAGGTCAGCTTTTTTTTTTATAAAACATTTATCCCAAAAGAAAATAACTTTTGCTGTAACTGCCTATAAAGTGTTATCTGGAGTTTATATTCCCCTCCCCCCCAGACTAACAATGATGCAGTCCAAAGGTGTCTCTATTGCTCCTTCATCCAGAGTGGGGACACTTTAATACTAATACTAGGTGTGTTATGGGCCAGTTCACCAGGTGAAAACAGAGGGGAAAAAGTCTAAAAAAAAAAAGAAAACTAATGCAACTACCACATCTAATGATTAGTAAGCTGCAATATATTACACTTTTGGTTTTGTGTGTAATACCACTTTAACATTTTCATCAGGTTTTATTTCTATTTCCCATCTCTTACATCCTGACACTGTGTCACTCATACAAGAAGTTGGGGGAATGGTTGTCACTGTGACAGAAAAGCACAGACAGCAATATAGACATAGCCAGAAGTTCCAGTTCCTTCTAAAAATGTTTTTGTATGTGTCTTTATTGGAAAGATTTCCCATCACTCTCTGTCTGGACATCAAGTGGCGGGAAGCCTCTCCAATATGTATGGCCATAAAACCTGCAACAGGAACCTACACCCAATTTTAAATATAAAGAGTAAGCACACCACATACCAAGCATGCAATTACAATAAATCTCTATCGGCCTATAAACACGATTATACAAGAGGTACAACTATCCAAGCATGCCATGTCACATCAAGCATAGTACAGCAAAGGTTTAATGCTTGAAGTGAAATGACATACTTGGATATCTTATTGTATAATTGTGCCTAAATGCTGAATACAACTTTATTGTAAAAGCATTCTTGGTATGTGGTGTGTTTACTATGTATATTTAAAATGATTGTACCAGCAGGTCGGTTCACTGAAGTGGGGTTTAACCAGTTCCTGCCCGACCAATAGCAAAATGATAGCCGAGTGGGACTTTTGTCTATCCAGGTGGGCGTCATATGACGTCCTCCCGGAACGCCGTCTCGAGCGCGCCCACAGGGCCCTGCTGAGGCGAGATCTGTCACAGCTTATAACTGATCTGTGTATCAGCCCATTGCTGGTACCATGTGACCGCTGTGACCTATCATGAGAATTGTAAACAATAGATTACTTTCATGCCATCTATTGTGTTGTTAGCTGTTATTGGTCACAGTGATCACATGGTACAGACTGGGCCAATCAAATCCCATCTGTGTCATGCAGGAGCGGACTGACCATTTGGAAACTCGGGCACTGCCCGAGGGCCCGGGTCAGTAGGGGGCTCCATGAGATGTCCCTGGTACCTTTTTCATAAGCTTTTTTGAGTTTGGGCAAGAACACAGGGGCCCCATTATCCCCTATTGCCCAGGGGCCACATGAGTTGTCAATCCGCCCCTGGTGTCATGTGATGTGTACCTGTAGCAATCACACCTAATTATAACAAAAAACATTGAATAAATTGATTTAATTCAGTTAAATGCCTGCCTACAGCAGTGAAATTCATTGCGGCATGCCACCCTACCCGCACCGCCATTGGCGGCTAGGGATGTCAATCACTGTGACGACACCTGGCCATTGTTGGGAAAAGCAGACAGGGGAGAGACCTGTGTGTAATCAACACAGGTCTCTCTCCTGCCAGCAAGGACATGCTGCTTTGTATTTCTCTACACAGCAGAGAAATCCACAGCAGCATGTTTCCCAAGTAAAACACACACAGCACATGATGTAAAACAGCACACAGTTAACCCTTTGATCACCCCAGATGTTAACCCCTTCCTGCCCAGTGTCATTAGTACAGTGTCAGTGCTTTTTATTAGCTCTGATCACTGTATTGGTGTTACTGGGGATGTCAGTGACAGTTAATCAGTTCCCCCCAGTGTCAGAATACCCGCCACAGTCCCACAGTACTGCTATAAGTCGCTGATCGCCGCCATTACTAGTATAAAATAAAGAAAATTCCAGTACAAATATTGCCATTTGTAAACACTATAACTTTCACGTAAACCAATTAATTTATACGTATTGGGTTTTTGTTTTAGCAAAGACATGTAGCAGAATACATATTTTTTAACAGGAAATGTTTTATAGCAAAAAAGTCAAAAATATTGTTTGTTTTTTCTAAATTATTTTTTGTTTATAGCGCAAAAAAATTAAAAAATGCAGAGGTGATCAAATACTACTGAAATAAAGCTCTATTTTTGGGAAAAAAAGGACATAAATTGAATTTATTTACAGCGTGGCATTACCACAAAATTGTCAGTTAAAGTAACGGAGCGCAAAAAATGGCCTGGTCAGGAAGGGAGGTAAATCCTCTGGAAGGCAAGTGGTTAATAGATGCACAACATTCTAACACACACTAGGGTTTATTTATTAAAGCTGGTGTACTCAGACTCTGGTGCAGCTGTTTACTCAGAATCCCGCGCACTTCTGCATAGAAACCAGTCAGCTTCTAACCTCAGCTTGTTCAATTAAGCTTTAGCAAGAAAACCTGGAAGCTGATTGGTTTCTAAGCAGAAGTGCACAGGATTCTGAGTAAACCAACTTTAGTAAATAAACCCCCTAGTCCTAAAAAGCAAAATATTTTTTGGTGGACTGGCTACAACTCAGGTCAGAGGGCGAATTCACACAGCGTGAGATGACAGATGTTTTACTCCATTGACAAGTGTCTCTCACCACAAGAACACACAGAAAACAATGGTTTCCTAGGTGTCCCATTCACACTGCAATGCGGACATGCTGCAAATAATCGCAGTGCAGTACACAGAATCGCATGGCACTATACGGTAGCACAGCTGTACAACACCATGAATGAAGTGTACATTTGTACAAAAAAAAAGGGGGGGGGGGGGCATGTGGTGCGCGCCGGCAGCTCTCCATTGCTATGCGAACTTAGCCCTCTTGAGCCCCATAGTGTTTTTTTTTTTTTTTTTCATTTCGGAATTTCAGAGAGATCTTAGATACGCACCTTAAACCTTTTAGCATTTGTCTACCCCAATGTATTATATAATTATTTTTTTTTTTAGACATAGGGTAATATTTTATTTAATATCAGCATTTTATACATATATTTTAATTTACTATTTTTTTTTTAGCAGAAATTGAAAAAAATATTTAAAAAAAAAAAAAGGTGTTTTCCAGTACGTGTTCCAAAAGCATAATTTACACACGCAGACTGTTATATTTACCTCAAATTATAAGCCTCAAAGTCTGTCAATTAAAATATCACATTTCTTTTTTCAATGTAACATAACAAAGCTCAAAGTGAATGTATGCATTTTGCTTTTGGAGAGATTTATTCCCCTTTCAATCTACATTGTGATGAATACAGGGGAAAAAAATTAGATTTCAGCTAGCAGCACACCTTAGCTTAGCACACTAAAAATTCGTGTTTTTTTATGGAGTTCACCACATCAGGTGGCATGTACCCAGGACCGGTGCTCCCACTAGGCCAACTAGGTAGCCACTTAGGGCTCACTGCCACCTAGGGGTGCCTGGGTGCAGCACTCTCTCTGTGGCCTGTAGACCTCTTGTATGAATTCTTCATTTCTCTGCAGTCCTCCACAGGGAATGATGAAGGAATGATGGTATCTTTACTCTGCACAATTGTCTCACAGCCTGTCTACAGTGTTGGCTGCCCCTAGGATGGGAAGTGATGACATTAGCCCAGGACCCCGGGTGGTCAGCAGTCTCTGATTGGAGGATCAGTCCGTGCATCTCCAGTACATACATTGGCACACACAATCCTCCAGCTGTAAAAGGGAGCTGGCTATTGACTGAATGGGGTGTGTCCAGCACTGGTTCTGCCTTCTTCTACACAGCTGGAGCCAATCAATAGGTGGGGGTGTGCTATGGTTGCAGGGTTAACCCTATGTGAGGATGATCGGGGCCCAATGTGTATGAGAGGGAAGCGGTGTAATGCTGGGAGGCCACCTGAGAGCCACAGCCTGGACTGGCAGGAGCCATCAGAGATGAACCGAGCCTAGGAGGATTGTGGCTCATGGAGGTGATGGGAGAAGGAAGGGGGGCAGACAATGGTCAGGGTGAGGGGAGCAGATGCTGATTGATCATGTGGGAAGCCACCACATCATGAATGTTCCTTCAGCTGAGGGAAGCGGCGGCAGAGGGGGAGGAAGAAAGGACAGAGGAAGATGCCGGGTGTCTGAGGCCAGTGTAGCAGCTCAGCTGCCGCTACTTCCAGTGTTCCTCTCAGACTCAGTCCCTTTCTGCAAGCCAGCTGGCGGCTGCTGATCACTGTGGAGTTTTGTAACTCTGTTTCTTTTTATTTGTTTCTCTGTCTGGTTGGTTAATACAGTTAATTTATATTTGATTAATATATATTTTGTCTTTAATATTGCTGCTGGTAGCAATTTATGGCGCTTATGTTTGTAAATTAAAATAAATGTAGCAGTTTCATTGTTGATGTAATATTTTCTACTGTTTTTAATTTTTTTTTTGGGGGGGGGGGGGGGCGCAAGTAGCTGGTCTTGTCTAGGACACAAAATAGTCTAGCACCGGTCCTGAATGTGCCACATCTTATGATGCATGTGACATTCATCATAATACACTGCAGTACAGGTTCATTTTCTGAAGTTAGTTGGGGTGCCATTCAACATAAACGGCAATGCAGCGCTCTTACCACAAGGCATTAATATACAGTACATGGCCCCTATCTGTCTGTAAATGTACTGTAACTTAAAGCGGAGCTTCACCCAAAAGGGGAAGTTCCGCTTTAAGGACTGCTCCCCCACTCCCCATTAAGGATTGGCACCTTTGGGGGGCAAGGGGGAAGTGGGTACCCGAATTTGACAGGAACCCGCTCCCACGTCCGGTCCGATCGCCTAGGTCAGTGGTCGGCAAGCCGCGGCTCGCGAGCCACATGCGGCTCTTTACACGCTTTAATGCGGCTCTTGTGTGCCGGGCGCCCGCTCCCCTCCCTCCTCTCGGGCGGCAGGGACTCTGCAGCGTGATCCAAAAAAAAAACAGCCAGGGCAGCGCGCTCAAATGCAATGATTGGCCAGTCTCGCTGCCACTCACATCCTGATAGCCAGTGATTGGCTGTCAGGATGTGTGTAGGCGGGGCAGCGTGACGAACGTGAGAGGAGCTAGGCTCCTCTCACAGTCCGCCCTGAAGACTGGAACAGCGCGGGTACACAGCGAGAGGAACGCGCGGAGCAAAGGTAAGTGAATTAACACAGGGGGGACTTGGCTTACTACTTGCTACTTACTTACTTACTACTACTATATGAGGGATGAATTACTATGGGGGATGAATTACTATAGGGGGGATGAATTACTATAGGGGGATGAATTACTATATGGGGGATGGGGGAATTACTATAGGGGGGATGAATTACTATATGGGGATGAATTACTATAGGGGGGATGAATTACTACTATGGGGGATGAATTACTATAGGGGGGGATGAATTACTATGGGGGAGGAATTACTATAGGGGGGGAATTACTATGGGGGATGAATTACTATGGGGGATGAATTACTATGGGGGATGAATTACTATATGGGGGATGAATTACTATATGGGGGATGAATTACTATGGGGGATGAATTACTATGGGGGATGAATTACTATATGGGGGATGAATTACTATATGGGGGATGAATTAATTACTATATGGGGGATGAATTACTATGGGGGATGAATTACTATATGGGGGATGAATTACTATGGGGGATGAATTACTATATGGGGGATGAATTACTATATGGGGGATGAATTACTATGGGGGATGAATTACTATATGGGGGATGAATTACTATGGGGGATGAATTACTATAAAAACTTATTGAAACTAAAAACAGTGTACCATCCTATGTATTTTCAGTTTTAAAAATGTGGCTCTCAAAATAAATTTCAATCGTGGTTTTGGCGAGATTTGGCTCAGTTGAAAAAAAAAGGTTGCCCACCACTGGCCTAGGTGATCGGAAACGGAAGGTGTCCTCCCTCCCTGTAGTCTTTTGGGACCCGTGACAGGTCCCAGAAGACTACAGGACCATTCATGCAGAGCATACTCACACATGCACAGTGGGTACCCGGCTGTGAAGCCGCAAGCTATTACAGCCGGGTGCCCACACTGAAGATGCCGGCCTCCTGGAATACAGGACGGCCGGTGAAACGGGGACACACCACAGGACCGAGGGACAGGTAAGTGGCTGTTTTTTAAAAGTCAGCAGCTACAGTTTTTGTAGCTGCTGACTTTCATTTTTTGACAGGGTGAGTGGAACTCTGCTTTAAGGCCAGCTAACTGTGGTTAGACCTATCACTGAACCAAGCTCGGTCATAAATTCATTTTTTTTTTTTTTTTTTCAGTTCAATATGGTGCCACTTTTGCTGTCATATGGTATGCTTCTAAAGATGGATTACATTTCTACTACGATAAATTCAATAAACTGGGATAAATACAGGAAAGAAAATATCAAGAGATCCGCACTGAGAAGCAGATTCCATTGGATTGAGGTCTTGGTATTGGGGCCAATGATGATAATCGTATGACCTCGACCCTATCAGTTAAAGTCCACTTAAACTGCTGCAGCAGTCTCTTATTGTAGACCCGTAACACTTGGTAGATTGTTGACCTAAAAGATTTATCCAGGGATTAGAGAATTGGAGTTCTAGTCTGTACGGCGGGGCTTACAACATGATTGTAACTGCAGAGAATTTTCATTACGGCTTTATTTCAAGATCACTGGAATTATATAAGAGTGACGTTACGGACAACCTACTGTACGCAATCCATCTCTTTTTTTATCATCCCGGTTATGTTTTTAAAACACGGCATTACGATTAGGCTGCGTTATAGCCATCATGCATGGTTTAACTAGATAATAGCAGCTGCGCACAGATGTGAGATCAAAAGTCGCAGGCACAGCGATTCACCCAGTCACAACTTGATGCAGAGGTGGAGTGACAGAGGCAGCATGAGGTACAAGAAATATTTTACTATTCTAGAGGCTGCCATTGGCATCACCCCCCTGAATAAAAGAGAACTACTTCCAGAGGGAAGACATGCAAATCTGTGGACGTATTCGGGGTAAGGCAAGAAACAACTGGTCCTTTGAATTTGTTCCCTGTGTTATTTGATTTGGACATTGCACACACCTCCCCGTAAACATTTCTCATGTTTATAGCTATGTTTGTCCAATTATGTATATAAGTGTTCTAGTTTGTTGGGAGTAAATATTGTCTCACTGTTAGTTGTTATTTGTGCTGGATTAAAATGCTCCCCCCTCCCTAACTCATATGCATTATAATGATTACATATTAGTATGATATTAGTCTGATTGTAATAGCCTGAAATGTAATGGTGGATTTTCTAATGTATCAGTGCTACATGTACAATTAAATCAGAGCCATTAAAATCAATGCAATGATGTCATTTCTTAGGTTCTTTGTGATGAAATAATTAAAAGGAATCTAGTGTATCTAAAAAAAAACTTTTCTATGATTAAAAACATTATCTCAAAATTATTTGCATCAGAAAAAGTGCACGTGTGCTTATATGAGTCAACTGACCAATCAATACTACTGTATCTCGATAAAAAGATTTGTTCTGCAACAGTAAAAATTAAGATGTGTAAAGCTGGCCATACATTCTACAATTTTCTTGTACAATTTTCTTTTAGATATACTAAAATCACAAATTTTGAGGTCAAACCTAAACACTTTTAATTTGTATGCAATCAGACAGGCCCTTGTACTACGTAGTTGAAGGTAAATCTAAAGGAAATTGAACAAGAAAATTGTATAATGTATGCCCAGCCTCAGGGCCCATTTAAGGACTCGTTTATTATTGCCACCCATTCGTTTTTAATAGGTTGCCAGTGCGCCCCAGTGTACTCTAAATCAGACCTGACCATTTTTTTTGTTATGTAATGCTCAGGAACACATTATTGTGTGAATTGTGGGGCCCTACAACACTGGTGCATTGGGTGCCATTCAAAATGAAAGACACCAATGTACATAACAAGCATAATTGTAACACAAACCTGTGGTTCAGCTTATATACATTTTTCATGTATTCAGACTGTTAAAACATAGGTTATTTTAGGATTGTGAAATAGGAAATGGGGCACAGCTAAAAATACAGACATATCACAGCATGTCTATGAAGATTCTCGTTTATCCAGGTCTCGCTAGTAGTAGTTAGTCACATTCAATTGGACTTGCTCTGTAATGGTGAAGATGTTGTTTTGCAGCTTATCCAACCATCGTCTTTGGTTCTAATTGGTGTCAGTGTATGTTATTCATGCAACAAGAACATAAAATAAGCACTGAACACAAAAGGGAAAATGGTTTAATGCAGCAAATGCATCTATGAGAAGAAGCAAACATGTAAATTATCGAATTTCAATATGCTAAACTGAAATGGATATTGTTTGGAAACAGCTATATCTACTTGCTGACCGCCATAAGTACATATACACTATATTGCCAAAAGTATTGGGATGCCTGCCTTTACATGCACATGAAGTTCAATGGCACCCCTGTCTTAGTCCATAGGGTTAAATATTGAGTTGGCTCACCCTTTGCAACTATAACAGCTTCAACTCTTCTGGGAAGGCAGTCCACAAGGTTTAGGAGTGTGTATATGGGAATGTTTGACCATTCTTCCAGAAGCGCTTTTGTGATGTCAGACACTGATGTCAGACACTGATGTCAGACGAAAAGGCCTGGCTCGCAGTCTCTGCTCTAATTCATCCCAAAGGTGTTCTATTTGGTTGAAGTCAGGACTCTGCAGGCCAGTCAAGTTCCTCCACCCCAAACTCACTCATCCATGTCTTTATGGACCTTACTTTGTGCACTGGTGTGCAGTCATGTGGGAACAGGAAGGGGTGATCCCCAAACTGTTCCAACAAAATTGGGAGCATGAAATTGTCCAAAATGTCTTGGTATGCTGACGCCTTAAGAGTTCCCTTCACTGGAATTAAGGGGCCAAGCCCAACCCCTGAAAAACATGCCCACACCATAATCCACCTTCACCAAACTTTACACTTGGCACAATACAGTCAGGCAAGTACCGTTCTCCTGGCAACCGCAAAAACCAGACACATCCATCAGATTGCCAGAAAGAGAAGTGTGATTCATCACAACAGAGAACACATCTCCACTGCTCTAGAGTCCAGTGGTGGTGTGCTTTACACCACTGCACCACAGCTTACATGCAGCTTCTTGGCCATGGAAACTCATTCCATGAAGCTCTATACGTACTGTTGTTGTGCTAATCTGAAGGCCACATGAAGTTTGAAGGTCTTTAGCTATTGACTCTGCAGCCAGTTGGTGACTTCTGTGCACTATGCGCTTCCGCATGCGCTAACCCCGCTATATCATTTTACGTGGCCTACCACTTTGTGGCTCAGTTGCTGTTGATCCCAGTTGCTTCCACTTTGTTATAATACCACTAACAGTTGACTTTGAAATATTTAGTAGCAAGAAAATTTCACGAATGGACTTATTGCACAGGTAACCTATCACGGTACCACACTTTAATTCACTGAGCTCCTGAGAGTGAGCTACTCTTTCCCAAATGTTTGTAGATACAGTCTGCACACCTAGGTTCTTGAGTTTATACAATGTGGCCATGGAGGCGA